GTCCCCCGAGTTCCGAGCTCCGAGTTCCTCCTCATCCTTCTCCTCCTCCTCCTCCTCCTCCTCCTTCTCCTCCTCGGTTTGCTGTAAAACGCCGGGGCCACGAATAAGGCATGCTTTAGCGGCCCAAGATCGCAGGAGGCACAGTTCTGGACGTCACGCGAATCCTAGCAGGCAGCAGAAGCTGAAACGCCGCAGCTCCGTGGTCACCGCAGCCGCGGGGGAAGAATCAAACATATCTCGCCGGCGGAAGCACTGTCCCCCCCCTGAGAAAGAGGCTAATCGACGCTAATCGACGACCCCGGGAGCGCTGCTTCCTACGCTAATCGACGCTAAATCGACGCTAGATCGTGATAGAGGCTAAATGCTAAATTGGCGGCGCTTCGTCATCGGCTACCAGACGCTGGCGGACGCTAATGCACCCTGAAGCTTGAATTTCAAGGACATACATGGAGGGGAAGAAAACGGGGGCCACGACCAACCCCGAACGCGGGAACGTCATGCCGATCTTGGTCAGCGTCAATCTTGGCCTGCGCACGGCCAATACATGGCTCCCCCTGGCCAGTCCCCCCCCCCGCTTCCTCCTCCTCCTCCTCCTTCTCCTCCTCCTCCTCCTCCTCCTCCTCCTGCCGCTGCCCCTGGCTCCTGAAGCGGCATGCGGGCCGCGGCAGCGAGCCACCGCACAACGCTGCACTTGCCCACCGCGGGGCCACCCACGACCAGCGCGGGCCACCGCAGCTCCTCCGACGCGGCGTGCGCCAGCGCGCGCAGCGCCTCCGCCTGGCAGGCCAGCGGCGCCAGCGCGGCCGCGCCCTCGAGCAGCTCCAGCGCCGGCAGGCACCGAGGAGGGAGGGAGGGAGGGAGGCGACTACCTACCAGACCCCCCCAACACGACCCGAAGGCCCAAATTTCGAGTTGGGGGTGGTGCGGGTTCCATGTGTGTGTGTGTTTCAGTGTTCCTGGACCCCCCGAACTGGAGATGGAGGGCAAATCGAAGACTTCGGGTTGGCTTGGGGTGTTTTTGCGGGTGGTGAGGAGGCAGGAGGCAGGACGAAGGAGGAAGCCCAGACCCAAGACGCATCAATGATGTTGCAATCCTCTCGCCCTCCAGGTTCCCTCTTCATGGGTCACTGCAAGAATGCATGCACGTTCAGCGCGGGAAGGACGTGGTTGAAAGACAACCGCTTGAGAATCCTCAATCGTGCCGACCACACAATTCCAGGGACTCCAGCGTCGAGAATGAACGTTCCTGTTGCTTCCTGACAAAACCGCAATCGCGCCAGAACATCATCCCTGGGACTTCAACAACGCGAATCAAGGTGTATGTTGCACCCAGGCTATTGTAACTGTGCCAGACTGCCGTTCATCGGGCTTACCGTTCCGCAAACTTGCAAGACGAATGTGCGCGGGGCTAATGGGAGAGCCACAGTTTGAGAAGGAGCCGCCCGCTTTCCATGAAACTGCTGCAAACTCTGAACACAAAGATGCGCGGCGCTGAAGCGAGAGCCACATGTTGAAAACGGCCCGCCCTCCATCCGTGAAAATGCTGCATTGTCTTAAGACGAATGCGCGCGGCGCTAAGGCGAGAGCCACATGTTGAAAACCACTCGCCCTCCATCCGCGGAACTGTTGCAAGTTTCAGGCTCCAGGGTCACAAATGAGAAGGAAGTGCCGACACTTCTGGGAATGAGACAGGGAGGAGTTATGTTCAAGGAAAAGGTTTGGAGGAGGAGAAGGAAAAGGCATTGGAATACAAAGGTCTCGACTTCTCTAGCTCTAGCATGCGGCAATCGACAACGAAGTAGTGAGCAGGAGAAGGAAGACGATTAGCAATAAAAGGACCCGTAACCCTTTGGGAGGGGACAGAAGTTAGGAGGGCCACAAACAGTAGGGATAGGGTGTCTTTTCTGAAAACGTACCAAATAAACCGCCATGATCTATTATCCCTGATGCAACGACGGGGACCTGAGTGAAGCCACGTCGTCACTGTGTTATTAGGGTCAGGAGCTCTTCCATCCTCAAAGAGGAAGATCCCCCAGGGCCACCTCGCGTCCGCGGGCGCCAGGCGCCGCGCCAGCACCGCGGTGCCCACCTACGAGAACGGCGCTTATGCACCGTACCATGTTCGAACTCCCTTCATGACCCCACTTGCCAACACGGTACGGTGCACAGTTCTGCGGCTCTGAGGCCGACAAAACAATGCACCGTATCGCTCCTGTGTCGAAGATCTACGACTCCTCGGGAGACTCCAACGTGGTACAATGAATCGGGGATGTACTGACCCGGCTCAATGCGAACCCGAGCCAGTCAGGCCTTCCAAGATCCTACAAGAAGGATCCTGCACCAAGCCCGGGTCAATGCACCCCTGGCCCTGCAGGATCCTGCAAGTCCCGCTCTGGCTGACCCCCGTTTGCATACACCCCCGTCGCTCGAGTCCCGGGTGCATACATGCCCGGAGATCCGGTGTCGTGATTTTGTTCCATACGGGGTCCCCGGAAATCTCGATCCGCTCCCCAGGACCACCTGTTCCTCCCGAGTCCTTGTTGGACGGCCCTGGGGCCCGGCGAGGGCCCCTAGAGGCTGAAAACTGCTACAAAAACTCCGTCTTGATTTTATTCCACAGAAAATGCGGGCGCGGCCGCAGGAAGCCCTCGCAAGCAACCCAACCTGGGGCACCCGTGCGCGAGGTGCTCCCGAGGGGACACCCGGAGCACCCGCGGAGCGCAGCAGCTCCGCCTAACGGCCGCGGGAGGCCACCGCGCGGCTCGCGGAGCGATCGGCAACCCGAGGCACGCCCCATGACAATAAAAAAAAACAGATGGTCTCTCGAGGCGCGCCCCCGCTGTGTAGCTACGCTGGACCTCTGGCCGACCAGCCATAACTGGGGGAGCTGTGGTCCTCACCCCCCCGGGGGAGCCCAGCGCATCGACGACCTCTCGAGAGGGGCGTCGAAGTCGAGGGGTCCCCCCAGGGGGGCAGGGACCACACCTCCCCCGGTTGTGGCTGGGCCTGTCTGGGTGCCCTCCGCGGTGCCCGCCTGCACCCCGCTCGCCGTGACGCGCAGGCCCTGCAGCCCGGCGCACGGCGCGCGCGCCGCCGCGCCGCGGCCGGCGACGGCCTCCGGCGGCTGCGCCGGCGGCTGCGCCGGCGGCAGCGCCACGGCGGCGCGGAGCTCGGCGGCGGCCTGCCTGGGGCGATGCTGCAGGGGCGGCCCCTGCCGAGAGGCACCCTCCTTCTCCCTCTGCCTCCTCTTCCTCCTCCGTCTCCCCCTCCCTCTCTCCCCTTCTGCTCAATCCTCCTCCCTCTCCTCCATCTCCTCCATGTCCTCCTCGTCTTCATCCATGTCTTACTCCTCCTCCTCCTCCTCCTCCTCCTCCTCCTCCTCCTCCTCCTCCTCCTCCTCCTCCTCCTTCCTCGTTCATGCTTACAGTGGAGGCCCTTGCCGAGAAACACCCTGCTTGCCTCCAGGGTGCCCTGGGTGTCTTGGGTTTCGACGGTTTTGCTATGGAAAGCGCGGCGTTCCCACACCAAAAAAGTCAGTTGACGTCCTGGGGTCTGAGGATTGGGTTTCTTGTTGAAGGTTCCTTGTGGACTGGCCTCCACTGTAAGTGATGGCGGCGCGCACCAGGGGGTAGGGGGAGGGGGGAGGCTTATCAGAAGGAGGCTGCTTTTAAGAAGCCTGCCCTCCTCCCCCTACCTCCCTCGGCGCGCGACGGAGAAAGGGGGAGCGATATCCCCCTGGCGATGTGTGGGGGGGCGGCTTCTCTCTGTTTTTCTGGCATCTGGAGGCCCTCGCCGGGCCTCGGGGCAATCAAAAAACGACGCGGGACGAGAAACCGGTTCCGGAAAGGGGTCGAGGCTTCTCGGGGTGGACGTGGCAACAAAAATCACGACGTCGGGGGTCTGGGTTCAATAAGAGGGCGAAGAAACGCGTACCTTTCGCGCCGCTTTTGGGCCCCGGGGGGGCCCTTCAAGGCAAGAACGGTGCGCCTTGCTTCAGCCTCCCCCACCATGCGTCGCTTCCCCATTTCGGGGGCGTCCAAGTGGGGGGCGTCCAAGAGGAGGGGAACGGGGGGAGCAAATCATGGCCGGCGGCGTGTGCGCGGCCCAGGGGAGGGGGCGCAGGGACGTATCAAAAAAAAGAAGGGGCGCCAGGAAATCTGAGGAGAAATCATGGCCCCCGTCATGGCACCCACCCGTACCCATCGGTCAGAAGAAGCAGGCAGAAACATGAAATGGGAAGCCGGATAAAGCAGACTGGCTTCGGGCCCGCCCAAAGGGCAACAAAACGCAGCAAAAGCAGATCCGGCCCGGGAGCAGGAAGGCGCTTGAAGCAGACTGCGTTGTGGGAACCCGAGAATACCTGCACCGATGGGTAGTCATCACTGGGGGGCGGCAAAGAGGGGGGTGTCCAAGAGGGGGGGGTGCAACTCATGACCGGCGGCACGTGCGCGGCCCAGCGGGGGGGCCAGGGACGTAACGAAATGAGAAGAGGCGCCACGAAACCTGGGGGAATATCGTGGCCCCCGCCATGATATCCACCCCCCCCCCCCAGTCATCACCCCCCTCTTTCCCTGACCTTCCAGAGAGCTATTTTTTAGCACTGGAAACCTAAAAGCCTAAAAAACGAGACGAAACAGCCTAAAACCAAGACGTAAAATAGCTCTGGGATAGGTTTTTACGTCGGGTGTTATTTTTTAGCCCTCCTGGAAGGTCAGGGTTTCCGTCCCCGAATCGCCCCCCCCTTATGGCCGCCCACGCCCATTGCGCAACGCCCGACCGCCGGAACGCGGCGCTCGCCGGGGGCAAGGGCGGGCCCGCCGCGGGCGCGAGGCTGCCCAGCAGCGCCGCCGCGGCGGCCCGGTCGCGCTCCGCGCGGAGCCTGCTGACGAAGAGCAGCCGCGCGGCCCCCGAGAGGCTGGAGCGCAGGGGCACGCCGGCGCGCAGCAGGTCGCAGAGCCGCAGCACGTCGCGAAGGTTCCAGTCCCACTCCCAGTGGGCCTCGAAGGCCTCGGCGCGCCCCTCCTCCTCCTGCCCCCTCCCCCTCCCCCTCCCCCTCCTCCTCTCCTCCCCTCCTCCTCCCCCTCCCCCCCTCCCCCTCCCCACCCCCTCCCCCTCCTCCTCCTCCTCCTCCTCCTCTCCTCCTCCTCCTCCTCCCTCCTCCTCCTCCTCCTCCTCCTCCTTGTCCTCCTCCTTTTCCTTCTCCCAGTGGGCCTGGCCCGGCGCGCCGTCGCCCTCGCCCGCCGCGGCCCGCTTGAACTCCTCGGCGGGGGCGGAGCGGCGGCGGCAGCGCAGGCTTCCCGAGGTCCGCGCGGAGGTCCTGGATGGAGCGCTGGACCCCCCTGGGCGGCGCCTCCGCCGCCGCCCCTGGCGCGCACCGCGCTCCAGGGAGGGAAGGTCCAGCGCCGATCCGAGGCGTCCGTGCGGACTGCCGGAAATTCAGTTGCGCCTCCTCCGATCTCCTCGAGGAGCTTCACGGCACCGTCGACCACCGCGGGGCCCACAGCGTGGCCGTGGCTGTGCTGGCTGATGTGGCGCAGATCCTCGGGCGTGAGCGGCGTGAGCACCACCCGGATGAAGCGGTTCAAGAACGAGCGGGGAAGCCCCTTGCGCCCGCCGCCGGCGCTGACCGGGTTCTGCGCCGCGAAGAGCCGGAACCCGGCGTGCGCGACCACGGTCTGCCCGATGGCGGGCAGGAAGATCTCGCGGCGGTGGTCGAGCAGGGCGTTGAGGCCCTCCAGGGTGGCCTGCGGCGCGAGGTTGATCTCGTCCAGGAGCACCCAGTCGCCGCTGCGCATGGCGCGGAGCAGGGCGCCGTCGCTCCACTTGAAGGACGCCGTCTCGGAGCCCGAGACGGGCAGGTCCGACCCGAGGAGGTCCAGCAGGTCGGTCTGCTCCGAGAGGTTGACCCGCAGCAGCCTTCTGCGGCAGCTCGTGTCGGGCCGGGCGAAAGGTGCGGATAGCAAAAGGGGGGTTTGAGAATCAGCTCACGTAGCTGATTTCCCGGCGCCGGGAGGCGCCCATGTATCGAGAGATGGGCCCAGCGGCGGGGCCGAAACCAGCCGCATGCAGCAGATTTCGTACCCCCCCTTCCCTATCCCCCCCTTTCGTTCGGCCCGATCATGGGAGCCTCCCACACCACCTTGCTGGCCCTCGCGAGTCGACGCCCCTCGACGCTCCTCGAAGCGGATCGAAGCTGAATCGGCGCCCTCTCGTCGAGTACCAGATGCTGGCGCACCAAGACACGCAAGGCTCCCAGAGTTGCTTTGGCGGCGCGCAAAAGGGGGGAGGGGGAGGGGGGAAGGCTTCTTAGAAGCACCCTGCTTCTTAGAAGGCCTCGGCCTTACGTCTATGAGAAGGCCCGCGCCTTCTAAGAAGCAGGGGTGCTTCTAAGAAGCCTTCCCCCCTCCCCCTACCCCCCTCTGCGCGTTGCCGATTGCTACCGAAGCCGCCTGCGGCCCGTCGCCTGCGCCAGCGCCTGCACGGTCGCGGTCTTGCCCAGGCCCGGCGGGCCCTCCAGCAGTATGGCCTTGGGCTGCTGCAGGGCGCGCACCACGCGGCCCACGTTGCACGCCGTCGAGTGCGCCTCGAAATCGAACGAGGCGACGGCCTCCACCTCTCGGGGCTCTATCGGGTCGGGCGAAAGGGGGGGATAGCAAAGGGGGGGGGGAGAATCAGCTACGGGGGTGCAAACGGGGGTCAGTCGAGCTTCGCAGGATCCTGCAAGATCCTGACGGACCCTCAAGACTCTGCGCGCAAACCCGGGTCATCAGGGGCGCCGAACTTCGCGCTCTCGCCCTGCCCCCAAGGGGAGAAAAGGAGGATGAGGAGGAAGCGGAGCCGAACCGCGAAGCGCGAAGGGCGAACAGCTTCGCGCCCTCGAGGGCGCCCTTGGTCAATGCACCCCTGGCTCTGCAGGATCCTGCAAAATCTGGCGCCCTGGCTGAGCCTGGCTGGCCCCCGCTTGCATTGACCCCCGTCTCGAGGCTCCCGAGCCTCCATGGCGCTGCTGCCACCGGCCGGGGCCGCGGGCACCCGGAAGCTGCCGAAGGTCAGGCCCTCGGCAGAACGGACGCCTGCCTGCCCCGAGAGCTGCCGCCTCACCCAGGCGAAGCCCCCCAGGCCGAACGTGGCCCGCAGCTCTGCGCGCGAGGCCTCGCCGAGGGCATCGCGAAGGTCCTCGTCGTCGGTCTGGTCGACGAGCCAGCGCAGCACGGCGCGCTGCGTCGGAGAGAGGCACCCGGAGAACGCCTCGCCCTCGGAGCCGGGGCAGGAGGGCTGCACGGCGCCGTCGTCCACCATCTGGTTGCCGAGGCCCAGGCTGTCCACCAGAACCATGCACCCGCCGTGGAGGTACATCTCCGCCGCCAGCTGCAGGCTGCCACCAGCGTCCCGCGCCATGCTGCTGATGACAGAAGAAGAAAGTCCACACAGACAGCAGCCTTCCGCCGCCGTGCCACCAGGGGGAACGCCGAGGAGGGAACGGAGGGGCTCCTCCTCCTCCTCCTCCTCCTCCTCCTCCTCCTCCTCCTCCTCCTCCTCCTCCTCCTCCTCCTCCTCCTCCTCCTCTCCTCCTCCTCCACAACCTCCTCCGTCGCCGTGCCACCAGGGGGAACGCCGAGGAGGGAACGCCGAGGGGCTCCTCCGGCCGCGGCCAGCCGCGGCCACGAAGGGGCTCCCCCGACCTGCCTCTGGGGAGTGGCACGGAGACCAGAGAGCCCTCCCTCCTCAGCCCAGAGCGGCCCTTGCAAGTGGTCCCTGCTCCAGCGCATTTTGGCTGACGCCTGCCCGCCATCGCTCGGACGTCCACTTCCCGTGCATTTGTCGGTTTCGCGCGTGCTTTTTTTGCTCGGTGGTCCAGGGTGGTCCTCGATGGTTCTCGCCGAGAAAAAATGCACACGTCCGAGCGATGCCAGGCCTGTGCAGATCGTTCGCCTTCCGGCTGAAGTGAGCCCAGCCCAGCACCTCGCGGATGGAGAGAGGGTGCAGCACGCGCGCGTTGAACCAGAGGACGGCCCGGAGCATGGGCCGCACGAGCGCGCGGCAGCTCAGCTGGCTCGCCACGAGGGTCTCCGCGTCCCCCGACCCGAAGTCGATGGGCTCGACCCAGATCTCCTCGGCGGAACGCACGACGAGACGGGAGGGGCCTGGCGTGCTGGCGTCGTGGCGAAACGCGATGGGACGGGGGAGCAAGAGGGAGGAGGCGGAGGAAGGCGAGGGGGAGAAGGAGGAGGGGGAGGAGGAGGAGGAGGAGGAGGAGGAGGAGGAGGAGGAGGAGGAGGAGGAGGCGGAGGAGGAGGAGGAGGAGGAGGAGAAAAGGAGGAGGAGGAGGAGGAGGAGGACGAGGAGGAGGCTGGAAGAAGTATAGGAGCAGGGAGACACAAACCGAAACTGCTACAAGAGGCGACCCATGTCACATGCAAGGGAAAGGGGGAGCGCCCCCCGCACGCTGGGGTCGTGGGCAATGGCTTTAGAAGCCGCTGGCCGCTGCTGACACTGTCGCCGCCGTCGCGCTTCGAGCAGCCTGACCCAGCCCGGCCGTCGCTCAGCATCAAGCCCCCCCCCCCCTCTTGCGCGTGCCCCGGGGCCCTCGGGCCCGAAAAGGGCCCCGAAGCGAGCGGACCCCGCGCAGCTGAGCGCGGACCGCGCGCGCCCCGGGAAGAGGAGGGCTTTTTTTGACTGTACTAAGCTCGTTGCAAGTAGCTTGAGCGCGGGAAGAGGAGGGAGGGAGGAGGGAGGACGAAGGAGGAGGGGGGCGGGAAGGAGGGAGGGAACGAGGAAGGAGGAGGGAGAAGGACGAGGAGGGAGGGAGGAGAGAACGAGAAGAGGGGATGAGGTGTCTGGCTGGTTTCGCCGCTTCGGGGCCCTCACCGGGCACCTGGACCGTCAAAAAACCCGCTCGGGACGAACAGGCTGGTTCCCGGGCTGGAAGAGAAAAGGAAACAAAATAGGGGAAAGAGCACAGGGAGGGAGGAGGAGGAGGAGGAGGAGGAGGAGGAGGAGGAGGAGGAGAAGAGGAGGAGGAGGAGGGAAGAGGAGGAGGAACTGGAGGAACTGGAGGGGGGGGGAGGAAGACGAGGAGGAGGTGGAGGAGGAGGAGGAGGAGGAGGAGGAGGAGGAGGAGGGGAGGAGGAGGAGGAGGAGGAGAGGGGATGAGGGAGGGAGGGAGGAGAGGGAGGAGGGAGGAGGTGAGGAGAGGAGGAGGGAGGAGGGAGGCGGGTAGGAGGAGAGGAGGAGGAGGAGCGGAGGAGGAGGAGGAGGAGGAGGAGCAGGAGGGGAGGAGGAGGAGGAGCAGGAGGAGGGAGGAGGAGAGAGGAGGAGAGAGGAGGAGGAGGAACAGCAGCAGCAGGAGGAGTAAGAAGAAGAGGAGGAGGACTCGACGCGAATCGAAATCAATGGGGGCCAATGCAATATGTCTTCGTCTGGTTTGCTACACGCGCGCCGTGAAGCGAAATACGGACGCTGAAAAACGGTCGCGTATGATGTGACGCTTCCCTTATATGTATATTTATATATACATATATAAGGGTATTATATATATACTTTTTTTAAATAATAATTAAAAAAAAAAAAAAAAAAAAAAAAAAAAAAAAAAAAAACATGCGGCAACACTGCCATCCTCGCAACACCCTTGGATCGTCGTGACCCTGCGGCGGCCACATAACCGCTAGGCCGCAGGGAACGCCTCGGCGGGGAACGGCCCCGCGGCGACCCCGCTGGCACGAGCAGCGCTCTCAGGACTGCTCGCCCTTCCCCCGACCCCGCCCCCCGTCACGACGACGACGACGACGACTCCCCCCTTTTATTTTCAGAGAGCGGCACCCCAAAGTTTCCACCATGTTCTGGCGCAGTGTCCGCCGCAGACGTAGCCAGAACAGAGGAGCTTCGGTTGAGAGCTCCACAAGCGACCAACTCACGAATCTTATGCTGTAGGCCAAAGCTGCTGGTGGTCTCACTTCGCTCCCTTCCGCTTGAAAAGACTGCTTACCTGGCGGTCGAGCGGGCCCTTCGGAGCCGGTCCGATGAGCTGCGCGGCCTGCAGGTCCTGAAGAACGACGTCGAAAAGCGCCACCACTACCGAGGATGCGGGGTTCGGGCCCATCGAGAACTGCAGACGCACCCTGCCACGCATGTTCTTGGATCCTGGCCCCCTCGGCGCCCGAATCGATAAGTGCCGAATGAGCGACGCGATGCATTGATAGTTCCGATATGTGAAGCACGCCTCGTAAAACTCCGCGTTTTTGGTCTGCGCCCCCTTCATCACAGCGCGGATCGCCCGGAAAAAGACGGAGACGAATGGCGGACCCAGGCTGCTGAGATCCACCTATTCGCCCGTTTTTCCTCGCGTGGAACATCTGCACTCCGTCGAAGAAGACTTTGTTGACCGCCAAACCCACCACGTCGAGGCACGAGTCCTTCGGCACGAAGAAGGTCGACAGAACGATTGCGGAAAGCAAGGCCTGCTCGCGAGCCGTAACCAAAGAGTGTAGGGAAACCTCCGTCCGGAGGTTGTTTTTCCCGTTTCCTTGCCCGTGCTTAAACGCCTTCGCGTCGGGCTGCCAAGCTTCTGCGCCCCCCTTCCCGGCTCCTCGTTTCGGCCTGGCGGGCGACATCTGCACTCCCACGGCGGAAGCTCTTCGCTGGCAAGCACGTACTTCATTGCCGCGAGGGCGCACCGGAGCGTGGAAGAGGTGTGAGCGCGCGCGAAGATCGCATTCGCGAGTAGTCTGAGACGTCGAGCCACAGACTTTACAGTCCAGGAACTCACCTGAAGTTCGCTGAGTCGCCGCTACGCGTTTAAGACATCGGCCGTATTGTAGAGCCACACGCCGTCAGTCGATCGCCGAACACTGCTGAACACTGCTTCACCTAATACACACGAATTAGTCCGCGTGAGAGCATTGGACAGTTTGAACCTGCAAGACGAGGAGGAGCAAGGGGAGGAATAACAAGGGGAGGGGCAGGATGGAGGAGGAGGAGCAGGAGGAGGGGGAGGAAGGGGAGGAGGAGGTGGAGGAGAAAGAAAAGGATGAGGAGGAGGAGGAGGGAGGCGGAGGAGGAGGAGGAGGAGGAGGAGGAGGAGGACTCAGCGGGATTCAGTGGCGTAGACCGCCCGAATCAGAATCACAGAATCACGAATGACGGCGGTGACGAGAGCGGCACCTACCCCAGGCCGTCCCTGGGCGATGTAGGCAGGCTCAACTAGACTTGATTACCTCTGGTCGGGTGCCCACCCTTCCACCATGCGCATAAGCCGCCCTGCCATTGCGCGGGGTTTCCCGAAACACAACCAGACTGCAAACCGACCCAGCTGTCCCGAGCGTACCTGGCACATCGACGACAGAAGACTACTCGGGGGAGGCATGCGAATATGCGCCCCGGGGCACGGGTTCGTTCGACCCGGCCCCCATCCCCCGACAACTCGACCCTCGGGGGCGGAGTGCCAGGTGGCGGAAGGCGGGCAGGCCCCTCGGCCCACTCGCGTGCTTCGGGGGAGCCGGGCGTGCTCGAACACTGCGCGGGCGGGCGCGATCCCTCGGAGGCGTCAACGAACCCTCAACCTAAAACCCTCGCATAGGCTGCGAAATCTTGCGCGTCCGACACGAATTTGAAACGCTGTGCGCATGCTGCTCCACGCCGCGCCGGGCGCCGCAACCGCCGCTGCTGGGCCCGTAGCCCAGCGCACTTATATGCGCGCTTACTCCCCCCCGAACGCTCGGGGCCCATTTGATTCCGCAGAGCTCTCGCTGCGCGAGCTTTTACTATCCCGGGACTATCCCCTCGCGAACCCGTTCGCCACTTTGGGCGATCAAAACCCAGCGTCGCGCCCGCGCGCGCCCGCGCTGTGCTTCGGGGCGCGCTGCCCACGAGGGCCTTTTCTGATACCCATGGATCACGGGCGGGCAGTGCGAGGGGATGACGACAGGCGGGCAGGCGACCTCCTGCGCACGGAGAACGGCCGCCAGCTCGCCCAGGAAAATCGACCGCGGCCACCGGGGCCCTGGCGGCGGCCAGCAACAGGCGCGCAGGAGGCCCACGCCCGCGCCCAGCCGCGCGAAGGCCCAGCCGCCACGGCGCAGGGCGGCACACGCCCCGCGCAAATGGCTGCCGTCGGTGCAGACGCGGGCCGCAGCGAAGCCCACGCAATCGCCCTCGACGAAGGCGGCGGGGTCGCAGGCCATGCCGCGACCGCAGAGCCGCGCGATCGAAGCCCAGCGATGGGTTGGTCCCTGTCTGCAAAATGCGCCGCCAACTTGCCACCTCTGGTCCTGCCCGGCCTCGCAGCCCGCGCGCGGCCGCGCGCCCCCGCGCCGGGGCGCCCCCGCTCGCGCCCGGCGCTCCTGCGCCCAGCGCCCTCGGCGCGGCCGCCGAAGTAGCGCTCGCGCAGGCCCCGCGAAGATCGACTGCACGATGGACCGCGCACCCCGCCTGGCCAATCACAAGCCCTTTGGGCCCTGCTCGGCGGCGGGCCGGGCGCGGCTGCGTAGCTCGTGGAGCGCGATGGCGCCCGGGTCGCCGATGTCGGTAGTGATAATGGCGGAGCGCGCTGCTGTGACCACCCAGCCCAGCCCCACCACCGCCGCCGCGAGGGCCCCCAGCTGGGCTGCGCACAGGCTGCCAAAGTACATGCGCGAGTTCCACCTGACCTGGGCGACCCGCCGCCCCCGCGCAGCCTGGAGCCTCGGCGCGATGCTCGGGCCCTCCTCGGCCACCTTCCACGCCTGCGCAAGCGCCGCGATCAGCGACGCATTCGCCGGGGCGTCAGGGCCCGCGTCGTCCGCCAGCAGGGCGAGGAACGCGGACCTGCCCTTAGAATCGCCAGCCATGGCCGTCGCGACGCTCGGCCTCAGCTGCCCCCGCTCGGCGACCGACACGCCCGTGGCCCTGGCGCCGCAGAGCACCGACGGCACCGCGGAGTGCCTGATGACCCTCTGCGCCGGCCCGCCGGCCTGGCGGGCCCGCGCGATCCTGCCCGCCCAAGCGGCGAACTTGACGGCCCGCCTGCCGACGGCCCCCGCTCGCTTGCGCCCGCGCGCGGCCGCCGCCCAGCCGACGCGCTCAGTTTGCGCGACCATCTACGCGCCGCGCGCTCGGATGCGCTCGCCGATCGCGCCCTCCAAGGCCTTGGTCGACGCCAGCGCGACAGCCTCGCAGCCCGCGCCCCTGGAGACCACCAGGTCTAGGGCCACCTCGAACATGTGCACCAGCGCATGGATGAGCTGAGATCTCCAGCATCGCACGAAGCCCCCAAGCCGCCCGCCCCCATCGCAAGGTCGTCGAAGCAAAGCCAGGCGTCCGCCCACGAGAAGGCCTCGACGACCCCGCCCGGCTCCACGAAGAGGACCATCTTGAGGCAGAAGGGCGCGAACCTGCTCCCCGACACGAGGCCTCTGGCCCAGCGAATTGCCCTCGGCGCAGCAGCCGCCCAAGACGACGCGCCTCGCCAGGAGATCTTGGACACTATCTTCTGAATGAGGCGGGTGGAGCTCCACCGCAAGCCCGCCCTCCAAACGAGCTCGTGGGGGCCACGTACTCGAAGCACCTGTCCAGGTCTGACTACGCCACGGCGCACTCCAGCCCCTCCGCGACGCTCGCCTCGCAGATGGGCGCCTGGATCAAAGTCGCCCGCTCGCTCGAGCGGCTCTTGGCGGCCCAGTCGCAAGCCCGCCGGACGGCCCCCGCAACGCCTGGCCTGGGGGAAGCGGATGGTCCCCCACAGCCTCGCCGAGGTCCCCGAAGCCACCCGCGGGCCCGGCGAGCAGGTACAGAAGGATGGTGGATTGAGGCCCAGGCCATGGCGACCCTGCCACCACTGAATTTCGCACGCTTGCAACACGAGTTGCTCCTTGGACCCCTCCTTGCTTCCAGAGCTTGGGGTGTCAATCCGACTCCCCCAGGCCCGTCCTGGAGCGTTCCCACTGGTTTCCAGCACCCCCCCGGCCGTGCTGGGCGGGACCTTGTCCTCCTCCTTCTCGATCTCCGTGGGCGTTTGGCACCGCGGCGCCGTCAGTTTCTTCTGCTGCCGCGCGTGCTCCAGGGCGCCCCGCAGCTTGGCAGCATCAGCACCTCCTCCGTGTTGGCCAGGTTCCGGGCACTTGGCAACCTGTTCCAGGAGGGCCACCGTTGCACCCCAGCCATTGCCTGGGCTTGGTACTGACAGTTCCTCAATCTTGGCGTTGAGCTTGCGTACCCGTTTCTAGTGCCGCTGTAAGCCTCCTTTGTCGTCGTCTAGCACCGTCTGTGTCTTTTCGAAGTCCGCTTCCAGCTTGGTGACGCGGAGCTTGCACTTGTCGCGGTGCTCCGTGTTATTGTTGCGCTCCCGCACCACCTTGCATTCTGTTAAGCACAAGCGCAATACTGAATAGATCTGTGCCTGCAAGAGGAGGAGGTCCCGAGAAGAGAAAAAAAAGGAGGAGGAGGACGACGACGACGACGAGGAAAACGAGGAGGAGAAAGAGGAGGAGGAGTCCTGACCTCTGGGAAAACACATATTTTTTTCGTTATACAACAATTTTACTGTTTGCGCCATATATATGTATATATACACATGTATATATATATATATATATTATATATACACATGTATGTATACATATATATATATTATTATATAATATATATATATATATAATGTATATATATGTATATATACATGTATAGATATATCCATATATATATATATATATGTAAATACATACGTGTAAATAAGTGTATCACATGTATTCTTCTTACATACATGTATAGTTGTAAATACATGTGTATAAACGTGTTTATATACATGAAGAGGGCCGCCTGTCAGAAGGCAGGGGCCTTACTCCAAAAGGATATGTTCCGTTGTGTAATATGATTTACAGGCACATTATACATATAACGGCGCACCGGGTCCGGGGGCCCGGGGCCGGGACCCCGACCACAAATGTGGGCCCCGGGGGGCCCGGAGGCTCGTCGGACCGCCGGACGCCGTCCAAGATCGTTCGCAGGCGGCTTCGGAACGCGCTCCGATGGCTCCAGATGCCTTCCAAGACGCCTGTCATGACACCAAGAAGGTCCCAGAAGCCTCCAAGACGCTCCGAGAGGCAGCCCAAGAGAGGCCCAAGAAGCAAAAATCGTGTCATTCCTATGGGAAAACGTATATTTTTCGCATGTTCGCCTCTTGGGCTTTCACCGCGTCCAAGACGGCCCAAGAGGCGCCCAAGACCGCCCCAAGACGGCCCAAGAAGCTTCCAAGAGGGCCCCAGGACAGCCCAAGAGGGCCCCAAGACGGCCCAAGAGGCGCCCAAGATGGCCCAAGAGGGCCCCAAGACGGGCCCAAGAGGGGGCCCAGAGGGGGACCACGAACCGCAAGCTCGAGCCTTCCGCCCCAAGAGGCCGCCAGGAGGCCCCAAGGAGGCCCCTCAAGAGGCCCCAGGAGACCCCCAAGAGGCCCAAAGGAGGCCCCGAGAAGCCCCAAATCGGCCCCCAAAATGCTTCGAACCTGCTTCCAGGAGGCCCCCGACAGGTTCAGAGGCTCCCGAGAAGCTACGTCAAACTCCCAGCGAGCGGCCGGACGAGGCCCCCCACAAAATCACAAGAGGGTTCCAGTATTTGTATCCTTCAGCGCTCTCTGGCCTTCTTCCCCCTGCCCCCTTCCCTGCGACTTTCGTTGACTCAAGCTCGCCTCCTAGCTAGAACCTAAGCGCGCGCGAAGCGCGCGCGTGGTTCTAGTTCTAATTATATATATATAATATATATATATATTATATATACATTATATAAAAAATGTATATATATATATATATATATATATATATAACTATGTGCTGTCGTTGTTGTCTCTTTATTTCTTATTTGTATCAACAAAAAACAGTGTTTGAATATTCCCCCTGTTGAGGGACAGGCCCGACTTAACGCCAGAACTATTTTGGGGGGGGGTCTCAGAAGGCCCCCCTGTCTTCCAAGAAGCCCCCCCGGGAGGCTTGCCCCCTCGCGCCGACACTGAGTATCGTTCGACCGATCCCCAGCCCCAGCGGCGTGACCTGGGCCCCACTGGCCGAGTCACCCCCCCTAGATGGGGATCTAGGTCGCTCCCAGCTGGGGGGGAAATTTGGTGGGGGTCTCGAAGGGGATGGGGAATGGGGATGGGGATCGGTGAAACGATACCGAGACACCCCTGTGCGCGCCGCCGCGCTCCGTGAAGCGGTTGCGCAATGCGGGGGAGAGCTCGCGCTTGCCGAAGTCCCCGCCCGGGTTCATGGTCGCGAAGAGGCGGAACGTCGGGCCCGCGCGCACCTCCAGAGAAAACAAAGTGTTAGTGTCGGCAGAAACTGTCGGAAGTGCTCGCGGAGTTTCTCGGATCGGCGCTGGACTCCCCCACCCGGCGCCCAGACCGCGCCAGGGGCGGCACCAGAGGCGCTGCCCACCGCGGGCCCGAGCAAACTGCTCGGACATCCGAATGTCTGTTCGGGCCGATTGCGACGCCTCAAGCCTCCTCGAGCTGCCTGCCCGTGGCCGGCTTCTCCGCGAGGAGGAGGAAGTGATCCGTCTCGAGGACGGAATTCAGGCGTTCGAGTACAGAGTCCTCGCCGCGGCGGACGACGCTGAGGACGAAGACGACGGCAACGCTGATGCTGACGCTGACGCTGACGCGGAAGCTCACGACACCGCTGACGACGACGACGACGACGACGACGCGACGACGACAGCGGCGGCGGAAGCGACGACGACCGACAGGGTCCTCCGCGAGGGAAATCTCGTCGGCGAGGAATGCGCCTCCGGCCCGCATGGCCTCCACGAGCGACCCGTCGGCCCACTCGAAGATGCGCTCCAGGGACGCGAGCAGGCTCAGCAGCTTGCGGGCGCACGCGATCACCTCGGCAGGGGGGAAGGGCAGGATGACGGAGCGAAGGAGGGAGGAGCAGCGATAGGGGGGGGCTGGCATAGGAAGGGACGCATCGACTTGGAATCGGCGGAATCGGCGACGCATCGCCGATAGATCGGCGATAGGCTCCCGATAGTGGGTCCGCACCTTCCTGGGCGGGCATAGTGTTATCGGGCCCCTATCGGCGCTCAATGGGCGACTGGGGGTCGATGCATCCCCCCTATGCCTGCCCATACTTCTTATGATTAAACGCTCCCGCATCCCCACCTAGCCAGCCGATAGCAACCCCGCCGTCCGAACTGCCAAAAAGCCTCATAGTTTTGCCAACATGTCGTTGAATTGCGAAACGTGTAGCAGGAATGGGACGGAATGAACATCGTTTGGGTAACCCTAAGCGGGTGGTCGCGTCCTACCCAACCATGTGCAGTTGCGAGTACCGCATTGTGGGTACCGGTTTCGGTGGAGCTCCTATGGGGCCACGAAACTTGTGAGGGGTGCGCCGAAATTGGTGGCGCGGACGCATGTGGACACCGCCACTTGGACCTTCGGTGTAGCTCCCTATGGGGCCACGGAACGCTGCCCTGGGCGAGGGGGGCGCATGCGAACTGCGCCATTGGGACCTTCGCTGCAGCTCCTTATGGGGCCACGAAGCGCTGTCATGGGTGGGGGAGACGCACGCGAACTGCGCCTCTGGCGCCTTCGGTGGAGTTCCCTATGGGGCCACGAAGCGCTGTCCCGGGTGGGAAAGACGCATGCGGACACCCCGATTGAAGCCTTCGGTGGAGGTCCCTATGGAGCCACAAAGCGCTGTCATGGGCACAGGAGACGCATGCGAACACCCCCACTGGGGCTTTCGGTGGAGCTGCTCCCTATTGGGCCACGAAGCGCTGCCCTGGGTGGGGGAACCGCGCCCACCTCCACTGGGGCCTTCGGTGGAGCTCCTTATGGGGCCACGAAGCGCTGCCATGGGTGGGGGAACCGCATGCGCCCACCCCCACTGGGGCCTTCGGTGGAGCTCCCTATGGGGCCACGAAGCGCTGCCCTGGGCGGGGGAACCGCATGCGCCCACCCCCACTGGGACCTTCGGTGGAGCTCCCTATGGGGCCACGGAGCGCTGCCCTGGGTGGGGGAACCGCATGCGCCCACCCCCACTGGGGCCTTCGGTGGAGCTCCCTGTGGGGCCACGAAACGCTGCCCTGGATGGGGGAACCGCATGCGCCCACCCCCACTGGGGCCTTCGGTGGAGCTCCCTATGGGGCCACGAAGCGCTGCCCTGGGCGGGGGAACCGCATGCGCCCACCCCCACTGGGACCTTCGGTGGAGCTCCCTATGGGGCCACGAAACGCTGCCCTGGGTGGGGGAACCGCATGCGCCCACCCCCACTTGGGCCTTCGGTGGGGTGCCCTATGGTGACACGAAACACCGCCCTGGGTGGGGGAACCGCATGCGCCCCCCCGCCCCCCCCACTGGGACCTTCGGTGGAGCTCCCTATGGGGATGCGAAGCGTGTGAGAGGTGTGCCGAGAGCAGAGGCAAGGAGGGGGAGGAGGGAGGAGGGGGGGAAGGGAAGGAAGGAAGGAGGAAGGAAGGAACGAGGAACGCGGGGCACCGTCTCTTCAGAACGAAGTCCGAACACCACAGGATGGTTGGGAAAAACAACACACGTCAACTTTCTCGTCAACATGGATTTTCTTGTCGTCGGCGCTGCAGAATGTGCAACAAGAGTGGGACGCGGCGCACATCGCGCGCGGACCACTGGCCAACCCTACGCGGGACCCCCCGTCCTACCTGTCAAAAAAACACCGCGACGTCGACGGTTGTCTTGCCAACATGTAGTTTGTCCTTGTCGGCGCTGCGAATCGCGCAGCGGGAATGGGACGCGGCGCGCATCGCGCGGGGACGCTTGCTCGTCAACATGGACTTTCTCGTCGTCGACGTTGCGGCCCGTCGGGTTGAGGATCTGGGCGGGCGGCAAGTCAGAATGCGTCAAACAAGTGCGGTTCGCCGCCGGCGCGCCCGTTGTCGTGTCCACGTAAGAGACCTTTGGCAACGGTGACCTTTCGTGCGCACAAATCAAACCAAAATCGACTCCCGGACCCCTCTGGCCGCGGCAAAGAGGGCCCCCCCCGAGGGCCAAAAAGCAGCGCACAAGAGGTCACCCCGGCGAAAAGTCACCCTCACGCGTCGGCGACGTTATAGCGTCGGCTGCCGCGGCGCCGGCGGCGAATTGTCCGAGCGCCTCCATGGCGGGACGGCTGGGCCTCCTCCCCCTCCTCCATGCGCGGCAGGAGCGAAACGATTGGCGGTGCAACACGCGTGGCTGGAATGAGACGCGGCGCATTTCGCGCGCTGGACATGTTCTCGCCGGTGATGCAACATGAGAGGCCGGAGCGGGGCGCGGCGTACATCGCGCGCGGTCTTGTTTTCCGTCGACGTTGCTGAATGCGCGACAGGAACAGGACGCAGCTCATGTCGAGCGCTGAACGTCTAGCCACCCACGATATAAGATGAGCGACAAGCGTCGGACGCAACGCACTTGCTTTTTATGTTGTGGGACGGCGGGTGGGAGTGGACGGAGCCCTCTGGCTCGTTCGAATTGGCCAACTGGATCTCCCCCTTATCGTTGCCCCTTGGGGGAAGGAGGGAAAGAGGCGTCCCTTGACCTGAAACGGCCGCGGCGGTTTGCGCGACCCTGTGGTGCCCGACAGTCGGCCCAGTGGGGCGGCCGCCCTCCAGGGCGGAACTCCTCGGAAACTCCTCCTGCGAGCAGGATGGGGCGAGCAGCCTGGCGGAGGGGTTGCGAGCGCTGGCCTCTCTTAGCCGGGTACACCTGGGACCGTCCCAGCGAACGGTGCTGGGCAGGACCGAGCTGGTCGGGGAAAAAACCGGCACTGCCGGAGGGGGAACAAATGAGCATCCGTCGGTCGGAAAAGTATACAAAACCATGGGGTAGGAAGGCGCTGGGAATCGTTTAGGTCCCCGCCCGCCCACTTAAGGGGAACGAAAAGGGAAAATCATTCGATGATTGAAATAGGAAGAGGCCTAGAAAGTAGATTGGGATTTGGGAGTCCGAAAAAGTTCCGCCGATCTGGCGTGTGAGTTTAACGGGGATGGGGTGACCGGGTTGGCTCTGCCGGGGTAAGGGGGGGGGGGGTCCAGTGGCGCGGGTTCGGGTGGCGTGGGGCGGGCGGGGGGGTCCGGTCCCCAGTCCCGCCTGTGGACAAGGGGACTTGGGGGAAGAGGGGGGGGCGGTCCGGCGGCCGTGGCTCTGTTGGGGTAAGGGGAGGGGGGGGTTCTGGCGGCGTGGGTTCCGGTGGCGTGGGAGGGGGGGGGGGGGTGGTCGCCCGCCCCGCCTGTGGACACGGGGAATTGGGGGAAGAGGGGGGCGGGGTCGGGTGGAGCGGGTTCCGATGGCGTGTGAGCTTGGCGGAGCCTCAGCTACAGCCTCGAGGATGAGCTTCACCCTCTGGGGGGGTTGCCGGGCCGGCTCTGCTGGGGAAGGAGTGGAGGGTGGGGGGGCGTGCGCGTGTGCACGGGGCAATGTTTGTCCGTGCGCGCGAGAAGGGAATCGGGGAAAGAGGGAGAGAGAAGTGGAACGGGACAAGAGTGGAAAACGGGAAACACATGGGGGGAATACGAAGGTGGCGGTGAAATGCGTGCCTGTTGTGCGGTGTGTATGTGTGTGTGTGTGTGTTTGTACGGCGTGCGTGGTGTGTATGTGTGTGTGTGTGTTGCTGGCGTGTGCGTGTGTGCCTGCGAAAGTGGTGCGCGTGTATGAGTGCGGCGTGTGTGTGTGTGTCTGTGGGTGTGTGTAGTGTGTGAGTGTGTGTGTGTGTGCGCGTGCGCGTGTGTGCGCGCGCGCGCGCGCGCGTGCG